AAAAAAAAATAAGACTTCTTATCAATTAGAATATAAAGATGGATAATAAAAATATTGAAATATTTTTAATGAATTAAAATATAAAAATATTTAAATAATTTTATAAATAATTATAGCATTTTAAATATTAGAGATATTGACTTCCAGTTCCCTTTCTCGATAATATAAGAAGTGTTTTTAATTCAGTATTTACGTACATATATTTTTTTTGGTACCTGTATTTACGTACATATTGCTGCCATTGGCAAATAATAGTCCACAACCCCGCCCGCGGTTGTGGACAGCCCCACACGGCGGCTCCCTACCGGTCCCTGTCAAACCTACTCACTCTTTTTACTCGTATCCTTTCGTGTTTTCATTCTGTTTCTGCAATACCAAAAACATCTACACAACTTGACTTCTTCTCCTACTACATTGCATTCGCTGCAATTGACTCTCTCAATTCAAACCCATTTCCAAAACTCAACTCTCTGTCTTAAAACCTCCCTATTCTCCCTTCTTCTTCCCCTTCAGACAAGACTTTCCTCTGTTCCATTACTCTGTTTTGCTCTGTTTCTGTTTAAGGATTTGGTTTTGCTTCTTAGGACATTAGAGAGAGTTTGTCTTAGGAAACAAAATATGGGTTTTGTCTTCTCAACGGTCAAGATGGTTTCTGTTCTGGTTTTCAGTCTTGTGGCTTTGAATTGCCTCGTTGGGTTTGGATCATATGCACAACTGTTGCCGGAAGCCGAAGGTATGCCATGAGCTTTCATTTGAATTTTGAAGTTACTGTTTTTATATGAAGTTGACGTGTGTGGTTCCCCAGAATTTGATAGAAATGAGAAGAAAGTTTATGACTTCCGTTAAGTGTTTTTTCATTGCACGAACAATCTAAATTCTTGGTGTATCTACTTCTTTAACATTTTCCTTTTGTTTGTAATGGTTGGTTTTTTGAAATTCTTTGTTTGGTTGCTTTGAATCTCCAGGAAGAAAGTTTGATTCTAAAATCTTAACCAATTCTTTTCTCTGTTCAAGTTGATGAGCGTTTTAGAATTCTCTTGCTTGATCTTGATAAGCTAAGTTTAACTTTGTTTGGTTGATGAGAAACTGTGGGAAACGTCAAGATACAAAATTCCTGGGTCTACGTAAGTACGGTGCTTTGAAAACTATTGAAATGAAGGGTTCTTTTCTCAGCACAAGAAAGGATTTCTTTTCTCATTTTTTTTTTTCTAGGCAACCAAACAGGGGATTAGCACAGTTACTTCTTTTAGAAATTTAAATTGCTTACTTCAAGGACATTTTTTCTTTTTCTTTTTTTGCATAATAAGTATCCTTGGATCTTGATTCCCCTTCTCAATTCTTATGCTATTTTCACAATTCCTGACTGCTTGTTGCAATATCACTTTCATGGGTTTCATTTTCTTAATAAATCAGTAATTGTCACTGGAAAAAGTTTAAAATGAAAAAATCACTTTCAATCAAGTATCAGTTTGTTTACAGGATAAAGATTGTCACTGAACTTTGATCTAATCTAGCTTTGGTTCCTGCATTCCGATGTTAAGAGTCATCATTCTATTGATTTAAAGTGAAGAGTCAGTCAACTATCGTTCTAATCCACTGTTTTAATTTCTGTGGTGGAGAAATCATAAATTCCCATATCTGGCACTGCATTATGGCATGGTTTTGGATGCTACTGTTAGAAAATTTTCAGAACATTGTTCATTCTTGGCCATCTTCCCACCAAATTTCTCGTCCCTTTTCTTCCTAGCAATATTCCATTGTAGGCCATATGCCCTTTGCTGTTTTTATCTCACTGAGATCACTTGATTGAGAAGTATTAGGTGGTTTTCTGTAAAATGATCAATTTCAGTTGCCTTTGATGGTAATGCCTAATCCTAAAATGACCTTTTAAGTATGCGAACGCTATTAGTAGAAACCAGCATGACGAGGACGATCAATCTGATTATGGTAAATTAGCTGTCAATTAGGAATTTGATATGGAAAATCTGAAAATTTTTATTTGCATGAGTTCTCTCTAATGATGGTATGTTTTCTTTTACTTCTTCTGGGGGCAGGTCAATGTTAAGAATGGGGACAGCTTTTAATGTAATTCCACTTTAGTTTATTGTAATTCTTTATAACACAGTCGAGCTGGAACTAGGTTTCTGTTGTGTGTTATTTATTTTATTTCATGAAATCATGTGAATATGTTTGACATTATTGTGTGAAATGGGCATCCTCAATCCTCAGCATTTTGCCCCTCGGTCAAGTCTAAGAGATTTAATATGGCTTTTGACCTTTTGTCTAAGATGGCTTGCTATAATATAAAAAGCTCGAGGTGGTCAAATATCATGTGGTTCAAATCTTTAGGCTTACCCTCTATTATCGAAACATTGACATTCACATTATGACAGTAAGATATTTTTTTTAAGGTGCCTAGCTGCTCGCTTTAGATTTGTTGGCTAAACATGAACTCTTTTGTCTTTATTACTTCTAATAACTTGTTATTAAGCTTATGATATTAATCAAAAGATTGCTGTTTGACATATTTAACGCTTGTAATTGTATGTTATTGATTGACTCATGCCTTGTATGCAACAGTTCAAACTCTTCAAACTATATTCAGAAAACTGCAGCACAATAATGTGACTGACAGTCAAACATCTTGCACTGACGGTGGATGGAATGATACCAATCTTGACAATGATATCTTAGGGAGCATAACATGTGACTGTTCTGACGGAAACAAAAAATATATATATATTAGAAGCGTGCTTCTCATTAACAATTCATATTTTGTGGATTGAATTATAAAATAAAAAAGACCTAAAATTAGTTTTTAATAGGTTAACAATAATGGAAAATAGTTTAGCCCCTCAGTAACTCATCTCTTCTTGTAGG